GTAGATGCAGAAATAGCACGCCAAGATATGAATATGATTAATAATTTCAAATTTTATCAAAATTTAAAAAATTATTTATTTCTACACAGTCCTACCAAGTACTACTAAATCCGTTTCGTTATGCAATGTAACGTCATAAAAGTACTATTAGTAATTTCAAAACGCTTCTGCAGTACTACTTTATGACGTCATATTGTCAGTACTGACAGTGAATAACGAAACGCAGCCCTATACGATAGATGTCTTTGTTTAACTTACTTTGTACAAGTTCATGCTTGCTGCGTCCAATGTGAATTATGCTGGTTCTACATTAGTTGCATAACGTCGCAAGCGTTGCGGTCCAATCAACATCAATCTAGCTTGATTCTGATTGGACCACAACACTTGCGACACGCTTACGACGCTGCGCTGCGACTAAAGCTGGTTCTACATTGATCTCATCGCAGCGTCGCAAGCGTGTTGCAAGCGTTGCAGTCCAATCAGAGTCGAGCTAGCTTGATGTTGATTGGACCGCAACGCTTGCGACGCTACGATGCGACTAATTAGAATCAGCTTAATGTAGAACCAGCTTTAGGCATAAAGCAGTAAAGCCGCTTACAGCGTGTGAGCGAGCAAATCGAACGCAGCCTTCGTGTACCAAACCTCGTAAGGTAATGCCCACGTTTTTGTGGTTCTTTTCCATACTATTCGTGGATTAGACAAAGACGAATAATTAGCTTTTATTGTTCATCCTTATCTTACCAATGTGCATCACTGGTCACAAGCGTATGCAAGTGTATGCTATGGAATCAGCCACATTCGACTGTGATTGAACAATATCTTACAGTTTTAAAGCTCATTGCACCCAAATATTGTGTTTCATAGGATCATTCAGAACTTAAGCGCTTATAATTATCATTTTGTTGTTTATTAAATGTAAAACAAGGAAGTGCCGAAAGCATTCCACCGAACGCGTCCGTGATGTGATTGTATAAATACCGTGAAAAGATTTACATTTTAATGATTACGAATTAAATTATGAATACAATGGCACAAAGAAAATCCAACGTATGGAATTTTTTTAAAATATGTAGTGACGATGAAAGAAAAGCTGACTGTATTCTTTGTGAAACTACATCACGAAAGCAAATTGTAAGAGGAAAATCGCGTAAATTATTCTCTACTAAACCATTATGGAATCATTTGAAAAGTAAACATCCGTTAATAATGAAAACCTTTGATGGAGAAATAAATGTCAGTGAGAATATCAAAATTGAAATAGATGACTATCCAATTTCTGACCCTTTATCCACAACAATGACTTCAAAATCTTGTGATTCCTTATCTACAACAATGACCTCAGAACCTTGTGAGAACTTTGTGTCAGAAACTTGTGTTTTTTTCCAAGAGAAAGATTCCAAAAGTTTTTTATCCTGTGAGACACAGCCTACTTTACAATGTATAATTAAGGAAGAAGAAATGTGGTCTTTGGATGATTCAAGATCAATCAATATATCTAAAAGAATAGGTATGTTTTATTTTTATATTTATTTTAAAGGCTCTCTCTGTATTTCATATAAATGAATATTTACGCTATTTTGTAAGTAATGTCAAGTCAAAGTATAAGCATTGTAAGAATTATCAAATCAAAATAGTATTCTTTTTGAGTAATATAGATTTATAAAATTAATATTATCATTGTTATTATAATACAAATATGTGTGATCACATACATTCATTTAATGAAAGGAATTTTTTCTTTATTATTACTTTACTTTGATTTAGCAATGCCTGTACTTGCAATATAAATTTGTTATATTTTTCGATTGTTTATTTTTGTTACATTTTAGGCGAAATGATAGCCCTTGATGCTGAAGCATTCACATTAGTTGAACGAAAAGGCTTTGAAAGGTTAATAAAATATTTGGCACCGCAGTATCCTCTACCTTGCAGAACATATTTTTCTGACAAAATTATACCACAGTTGCACGAAACTTTGAAAACACGTATTTGTAAAAAATTAGCTACTGCAACATACATATCGTTCTGTACTAATATTTGGACTTGTTCAGCAAACAACGAGGCATTCATAAGTTTAACAGCTCACTTTATACGAAGTGATGATATGGAGAGAGAAACATATGTTCTCAGTGTGAAACACTTTCCTGATAGCCATGGTGTTAATATAGATCAGATATTAAATGATATAATGGAAGAATGGCATATAAGTTCTAATCAAATTCACCTGATTTTAAGAGATAACGCCTCTAATATGATTGTTGGAAGTAGTATGTATTACTTAATATTAATAAGTTTATATTGGATGCATTCAATACTACAACCGCTCACTGAACATTCAATGAGCTCGTGCATCTGGTCTATATTTTTGGATTTAATGGAATATGCCAATTAGATGCAAGAACTCACTGAGCACTCGTGAGCGACTGTAATACTGAATGCACCCGTTGAAGAATATACTTTTTAAGTAACTTAGTTATTTTTTATTTTAAATTATCAACATTAATTATGTTGTATATCTTACAGGTATGTTAGGAGAGAATATAGGATGTGTTATTCATACTTTACAACTTGTAATTCATGATTGCATTTTTAAAAATCAAAAATTTATTGAAATTTTAAGAAAATGTCGGAAAATTGTTGAACATTTTAATCATTCTTCACTCGCTTACTCGAAACTCAGTAGTATCCAGAAAATTTTGAAGTTGCCAAATCATAAATTAATCTATGATGATACAACACGATGGAATTCTACATTTTATATGTTGTCAAGTCTTCATGAACAACGACAAGCGATAACTGCATATGCTGCGGATAGAGATATATCAACCCTTACAGCTATGCAATGGAGTATAGTAGAAAACGTTTTACATGTTCTTCAACCATTTGAAGAAATAACTAAAATATTAAGTTCTGATTGTGAGACAATTGGATACGTTATTCCAGCAATTGTTATTCTACATTCGTATCTTTCAAAACGACAAAAGGATGCTGGAATAGTAATGTTGAAGGAAGAACTCAAGAAAGCAATGGAAGAACGATTTTTCAATTCTACAGGTATTATTGTAATATGTTCATTACTTCAATGTTATTTTTTTTTCTTTAAAATAAATGAATCAATTTTTTATCGTTATATAGGATTCAAGGATCGAAAATGTTTTGTACTAGCTACCGTTTTAGATCCAAGATTTAAAACGAAGTTTTTATCAGATGAAAATAAGGTCAAACAATGGATTATTACCGAATTGCTTGAAATAAATAATACAGTCATCGAAAATGATAAAACCAATACGCAGAGTCATGATAGCCGTTTCCAAAAACAAGATATCAGTGAATCACATGATGATATCTGGAAGTGCTTCGATGACATAATAAACAATTCAAAATCAGATAATGATAACAATTTTGAGGATTCATCAAGCGAGACGTTTAACAGACAATCGAGTGATAGAACTGAGAAAATTGCAATTTACAATGCTGAATTAACAAAATATCTGTCGCTACCTCTATCACCGAGAAACGAAGATCCCTTAATATGGTGGAAAACTCATATTTTAGAATATCCTAATCTCAAAACTTTGGTTTTGAAATACTTGAGTGCTCCACCATCTTCTGTGCATTCAGAAAGACTTTTTAACGCAGGAAAATTAGTTTATTCTGATAATCGAAATAAATTGTCACCGAAAAATGCTGAAATATTATTGTTTATCATGAAAAATTTATTAATATTAAACTTTAATTATTGAGGAATACTAGGGTGACCAATGTTACGTCCAGGACGTTTTTCCAGGACATGTTTTTTTTTTTTTTTTTTTTTTTTTTTTTTTTTTTTTAAGCATTCAATACAATAATCTCAGATTATTGTGAAATTTTCCAACGCATGCATAATAACATAGTGAAGTAGCATACAGACATATGATTTGGAAGAACTTGGCATTGTTATATCCCTCACAGGAATAAAATAGGAAATATGAAAGGAAGTATTAAAAGATATTGTACAAATTTTTATAAAATAAGTAATATAATGAGTTTACTGATTCTTTGTGTGTATTTGCCGACTTATTATATCAATACCAACATTTGTTGCTAAAGGTAAGGAAAAGTACAGAAAACTTTATCAGTATTTTGGAAACTACAAAATTACAAAAATGTGCTGATTATTGAATATTTATAAGTACAGCTAAATCTACTAAGAATATTTGACAGAGGATCTATTATATTTTATGGAATTATTAGAATTATATTCTATGGATTACTAGAAATATAACAAAATTTCCTACTTAAATAATGTAATAGCAGAATGACTGTAAAAACTTAGCAAAATCTGTTGTTTCGTACTACTAACATAAAATATTTTAAGGGTGTATGTATGTATACCAATTGCATACGAGCCAATCAGCGCTAGAAAAAAAATAAGAAAAACTGCACAGAAATCGTTATGATTGGCAGTGGGCAATTGCAACAGTGTGCAAATGACTCCCTATTTTAAGATACTTACGGTAACTAAATTTAATTATAACTAATTATTAGAGTTGGTTTATAATAGACCGTAATCTGTTAACTTTTTTCATAATCTATAAGAATTGACCAATCATAGTCGAGTATTCTCCTCTCATTCGACTGTGATTGGTCAATTCTTACAGATTACGGAAAAAGTTAACAGATTATGGCCTATTATAAACCAATCCTAACCCCAGATCTACAATAAGGTTTTAAGTCTTAAGCCATAAGAAATGGGCGAATCACAGTCGATTATTCCCCTCGGATTCGACTGTAATTGGTAAATTTCTTACGGCTTAAGGCTTAAAATACCTATTGTAGATCCGGACTTACCCATTAGGTGCATCCAAAAGCACCGAGCGCTTAGTGAGCTCTTATACCTGTTTGGTCTATATTTTAGGATCTAACGGTATATGCCAATTAGATGAAAGAGCTCAGGGAGCGGTTGCGCATCTGGACGCACCCACTGTATCGACTCTGTAAATTTCATGTTCCATGGTTAGTACACGTCATTGGTCGTTGCTGATGTGATCCAATGTGATCGTACTTCGTAAATTTTTACTTGCGAAACGCGAATTTGAGATTATTTGGAGACGAATTGACGTTAGCAACCAAAATCTTTTTTGTGCAATCAAAATGGAGGCGTTGTATCACCAAACCAATAAATTAATACAAGAAACGCAGCACATTTTCTCACAGCTCGAGAGAAAGACATCCGACACGGATCTGCAGGAAGTGAGGCAAACTATCGAGGACAAAATCACTCTTATCAACAGGTAGTTAGTCAGTCATGATATTGTTTGAAAATTGTTATTGCTTACCACTAAATTTGAATGATTTGATCAGTAATTGCGAACGACTCGACATGCTATGCCTCAAGGGTCCAATGTCGCAAAGGCAGAACAACAGAATGAGAGTGGATCAGCTCAAGTATGACAGTCGTCATCTCAGCGCTGCCTTGAACTCGTGGTACAACCGTGTGATGCGGCAACAGAGGGAGGAGGCAGAGAGAGAGGCTTTACTGGCCAGGAAATTTACCACTAATGACCATGTGGACATCTTCATCGATCACACTGTGCAGCATAATAACAGCTTGCATAATGCCGTCCATGGTATAGATGACCTACTGCACCAAGGCAGCAATGTTCTGGATAACTTGAAATCTCAAAGAATAACGTTAAAGGGAGCCCACAAACGTTTGATAGACATTGGTAATACTTTGGGTCTTTCCAACACTACTATGAGGCTCATAGAGCAACGAGCTAAGCAAGATGGATTTATTTTAGTTGCCGGTATGACCTTTACTTGTATAGTAATTCTCTTGGTGATAATTTACCTTACTTAGACATTCCAAAGATTAGTAAGATGTATCTGCGATTAATTGTAATTGATTGCGCCTTTTATATAGGATATCCCATTTTAATGTCCCACCTCAAATAACTTTTTTGTTTTTGATCTTGGAGAAAAAAATGTTTCAGACAAAAGTTGTATGTCCTCTTTGAGGGAGACATAAGGTGGTATCATTAGTTTGACCTTGAATAATTGCTTGGAGGTCATGTGGAGGTCACCTCAATACCATACAATTTTTGTCTGAAACATTTTTTTCTCTAAGATCAAAAATAAAAAAGTTATTTGGGGTGGGACATTAAAATGGGACATCTTATATATATTTGTTAGTTTTCATCACAATTGCTATCAATGCTTATGAAAGAGATAATAATATTTGCAACTATTTAATATTATTTACTCTAGTATCAATTTACTGTAAGCTGTAAGAATATTATATGTATGTAAGTACCAAATGACCATAAATGAAATTTTTTTAATGTTATTTACTGTATTTATGCTAAGGTACAACATATTTGTATTTTTTATTGTAAAACCAGTGTGGGTAGTATTTATTATACATTTATATTTAGTAATGATTGTTGAAGTTTTCTCGAATGTTGTATTAATAAAGTTATTCATATTTTTAATGGAAAAATATGAAAAGATTCTAATAATGCTATCTAATAATTATAAGGATATAATTCATATATAAGTAATATACATTGATCTACAGATATTAGCTGTATATACAAAAAGTATTTTGTTATTTCATCTTTTATTGGGCACATTCAGCAGACTCAACAGTTGAGTGAGCGCTCGCTGCTATTGATGTATTCTTCTAGATCTAAAATTCTGATTGGATGAACTAAAAGAATACATCAATAATAGCAAGCACTCATTCAACTGTTGAGTCCGCTGAATGCGCTCATTGATTCCTTTTGGTAGCTTCTTTAGCTCCAAATATTTATTATAAAATGTATAATCCTGTATTTTCCTCATTTTTTTCAGAATTTATCTTTTTTCTTGTTAAAATCTAAGAATTTTATCATGTTATAAAATGCAGATGGTGTAAAAGTGAGGACGATTTTTTTTTTTTTTTTAATATCTCGAGTGAGGGAAATTAGACGCCTTCTATCCTATCCTTTGGATAATATGGCGCAAAGACACTATATCAATTCATAATATATACTGTCAATCAAACTCGTAAACAGAGTCACTTTTTTTCTTATTATATAGCAATTTTAAACCTCGTACAATTCGCAACGGCCTTAAGCCTTTCAACTTTTTTCACAACAGCTCTTTAACCCCGGATCTACAATAGGATTTTAAGCCATAAAAAATGGGCGAATCACAGTCGATTATTCCCCTCGGATTCGACTACAATTGGTCAGTTTCTTACGGCTTAAGCTGGAAACACAATAGACACAGGCAATAGGCAACAGGGAATAACGAGCCGTCCAATCAGAGCTCTGGAGTATAAATTCGATATTATATCCCAGAGCTGTGATTGGACGGCTCGTTATTCCCTGTTACCTGTGCCTATTGCCTATGTCTATTGTGTTTAAGCTTTAAGTCTTAAAACACCTATTGTAGATCCGGACCAAAGCCTTCCAACAATACGACACAATAAAATTTTGAATAGAACTTCTTTTAATCACAGATGGAGCCATTTTCGGCTTCCTAAATGCGAAAAATCGCGTATATGAGTGCAGGTGGGATTGAAATTGAACATGGATCCACAGATCACGTGTATTAATCGCACCGAGCAGCAAACCATCTGACGACCCAATCGTCATATAACCTCAAAGAGAGGTTGAGAAGGTGCACAACTCCCATCAAACTACTCCACAAAAAAAATTTTTATATATTACAACGCTTCTACATATAAAATTTTGGAATTGAATTACTACGTCTGTATAGTTTGATAGAGCGACTAACAAAATCAATAATAATGGACGAAATGCTGAAAGATGCGCGTTTCGCGCATATTGCGAGAGATCCAAAGTTTCGTCGCATTCCCAAAGCTGAGAGGAAAGTAAAGATTGATCGTCGATTTAAGGGTATGTTTAAGGATGAAAAGTTTACCGTGAAGTATACCATTGATAAGCGCGGTAGACCTGTTAATCAAACCACCACCGAAGATCTTAGAAAATATTATGATCTGTCGAGTAGCGAAGATGAAGATGCATCTGTATCATCTGCAAGCAAGAAAAATGATGAGAAAAAAGTGAAGGCTATCGAGGAGGACAGAAAGGATAAGAAAAAGATTGTGAAGGAAATCGAATTAAAAACTGAAAAAGATTCCTCAGACAAAAGGAACAAAGATGAGAAGAACAAAAGTGATTGTTTGTTGAGTCAGAAAAATTTTTCTGAACTGAAAACAAAAGAGGACTCTCCTGATGAAGATGAATCTTCAGATAGTGACACTGAATCTGTCCAAAAAGAATTTTCTCAAGCAGAGCTAGATGAAAATAATAAACAGCTTCATAAAACGACGAAAAATAAAAATGGTAGACTTACGAATGAAATTAAAGAGAAACTGAGGGATCTTACTGTAAATTATGCTAGAGGTGAAGGTGTCTTGTTAAGTGACAGTTCTTCAGAAGAAGAATCATCCGAAGCTAGTGGTAAAATATTATTTATTATATCTTATACACGTATCCTGATCATATTTAAATAATTGCAGAAATAAATCTTTTTTAGATGCCGAGGAAGAGATTGAGCATAACTGGGGTGAACTAGACAAAGATGCTGAAACAACGGATGAGATCACACGTCGATTAGCTATTTGTAATATGGATTGGGATAGAATACATGCTGTAGATTTAATGATTTTGTTAAACTCATTCTTACCCAGTAGTGGATTCATCCATTCAGTTACGGTAATGACTAAAATAATAATTAATAACATTACATAAATATATTAATGTTTTTCTATTTTTATATATTTGTATATATTTCTATATATTTTATATATTTGATTAGATATATATTTAATATTGCAAAAAATTATAATATGTAGCCATTGTAATTAATAATTATATTAATATAATCATATTGGATATATTTACTTATTTCAGATTTATCCATCAGAATTTGGTCTGCAGCGAATGAAAGAAGAAGAAATTAATGGACCATCAGAGCTGAAAAACGAAGCTATTAGAAGTGAAGATGAAATTGAAGATGATGTATGAAATAATAATTTTCTATGTTTTTACAGTGTTTTCTTTTCTTATTATATTGATGTCTTTCTTTTCTTAGAATGAAGAAGGTTCGAAATATCACATGGAAAAGTTGAGACAATACCAATTGAACCGATTGAGATACTATTATGCTGTTGCCGAATTTGATTCTGCAGAAACAGCAAACAAAGTATACACGGAATGTGACGGCATTGAGTATGAATCGACTGCAACTAGATTAGACCTTAGATTTATACCAGATGATATGATATTTGATCAGGTATCTCTTAAAATCATATATTATACATGTTACATCAAAAGTTTATTGAAGTATTAAGAAGCATACAAGTTTCATGTACGAAATGTTTGTTAAAGGAACCTAAAGAGGAATGTACTGAGATACCGGAACCGGTCAAGTATCAACCACGACAGTTTACGACAACAGCATTGCAGCAAGTTAAAGTCGAGTTAACATGGGATGAAACAAATCCAGATAGGCAAGAGTTTACGCAGAAACTGAATTCAGGAAAACTACAGGATATTGATGAAAACGATCTACAGACATATTTGGCAAGTGGTAGCGAGGATGACTCAGGTATCATGCTATTTTATTTTGTATATATTGTTATTTTATGTCAAATTTAAATCTACATACATTTTTATTATATTATTTTTTTTTCAGATACAGAAGAAAAGAAAGACATAACTGAGAAAACAAATGATAATTCAGAGAAAGAATCAGAAGCAAATAATGATCTAATCGGAAAGTACAAATCTTTACTTAAGACTATTGAAGAAGAAGAAGAGACAAAGAAAAACAAAGATGTAGAATTAGAATTCTCATGGGGTTTAGACACCAAAGAAAAGGCCGAAAAGTTAGTCAAAGGAAAAATGAAAAATAAGGAAGAACTTACACCTTTTGAACAATATCTAGAGAAACGCAAAGAGAAAAGGAAAGCTAAGAGAGAAGAAAGGAAAAAGCTTAAAGAAGAAAGTCAGAAAAGCGATTCGGAAGATTCTGTGCCATCTGATGTAGATATGAATGATAAATATTTTACGGACGAATTAAAGAATAATAAATTATCCCATAAAAAAGGAATGAAAGATAACGAAGCTGGTGTCGATTCATCGAATGAGCAGGAAAATAGTCGACATGAAGCTGAATTGGAGTTACTTCTGATGGATCAAGACGAAGACGGTAAAAAGCATTTCAACATGAAACAGATTGAAGAAAATGCAACTATGTCGAAATCCAAACGAAAACGTCTTAATAAAAAGAAGAATGTGGAAGAGGAAGCGAAAGAAGATAATTTCGAAGTTAATGTTAAGGATTCAAGGTTTACTGCTTTGTTTACGTCACATCATTTCAATATTGATCCTGCGGATCCGCATTATAGGAAGACAAAGGGTACGGAAGCGTTAATTACTGAGAAATTGAAGAGAAGAGCTGAAAACGAAGCACACACAGAAAACGTAAGTAAAAGAACATTTTATAATTAACAGCGATTTATGTATTCTTTCCTTTAATGCATATCGGAACTTCTTTAGGACAAACAATTTAAAAAGCCAAAAACAAATGAAAAATTGCCATCAGAATTACAAGCTCTAGTTAAATCTGTTAAGAAAAAAACACAAAATATCACACAGCCAATAAAAGGATAAGGTAATTATATTATCTTTGTATTAATTATAACAGTTAATAAAAAAACTATATTTTATATATTAATAAAGGAATTATATTTTTATTTTAAGAGATAATTCTTTTTTATTTTACAATTTGTGTTATAAAGTATAGCATTTCATTTTTGCAATATTTATTTAAAAATAAATTGTTATGGTAATACTGTTATTATAATTGCTACTAACAAATAATAAATTAACTAAAACTGTATGTAAAAATTATATATAATATTTTTATAAATATATAATGTATATACACACAGAGTGTCCCGAATTTAAATGGTCAAACTTCAAGAGTGCGTAGGAAATCGATAAACTAAGAAAAGAAATCCCATAATTAGAGGTATACTCGTTTCCGCTTCATTTTGGAGAAAATCTAAAAAAAAATAAAACAATTCATTTTTGTACTTATTCATTACTTATTTATTTACACTTATTTATTCATGTTGTCACTTTCTTAGGGGCTGCGCACAATGAAGGAATAGGCGCAGCCCCTTAGTGTAGATATTGTTCAAATTATTAGCCTCTTGCAACAATGGGTGCATCCAGAAATATGATCCCTCACTGAGCGTTCAGTGAGCTCTTGCATCTGATTGGCTGGCATATTCCATTAGATCTAAAAATATAGACCAAACAGGTAGGGGCGGAATCCATAGAACCCATTGCTTAAAGCTGGTTCTACATTGATCGCATCGCAGCGTCGCAAGCGTTGCAGTCCAATCAGAGTCGAGCTAGCTTGACGTTGATTGGACCGCAACGCTTGCAACACTTCGATGCGACTAATGTAAAACCAGCTCAAGATTCAAGACGGTCTTAAGCTAGTGCATGAACCAATCAGAGAACCGTATTAGCATCTTAAGACATTGTTTGAGATTAAGATCGGACTATGGATTCCAGCTAAGAACTCGTGCTTCTGGATGCATCTAATGCAAACATTGCATCTAGTAGACAGCTTGTGTTGCAGCCAAACACTGATCGATGATATTTGTGCACTGCAGCCACAATTCGGTCTCTCAATTGTTCTCTTGAGTTAACTGGCAACAAATAAATAATTTTCTGCTTCAGGGCTTCTCACACAAAGAAATCCACAATTTTTTACTTGCAAATTTTTTCTTGACGGGTATTGATTGAAAATGATTCTATTTCTTGCAGCATATTAAAGAGATATTAGAATGACCAATTATCGACATTACAGTTATATAAAAATCTCCGAATTGACTGAACGGAATCAAAAATCCTTTCACAAGATTAAAGTAAATGTAAATTTAGGAGGTGGTGCAGTGTACTTTATATTAAAATCGAAAAAAAGTTAAGTAAGTTTTTAACTTTTTTTCGATTTTAGTATAAAATCCACTGCACTACCTACTAATTTTGCGTCTATTTTAATTCTGTAAGAGCATTTTTAAGATAATGTGTGCAAGACAATTATTTGCTCCCAAAATGAAGTATATTATCATACTTGTATAGAGGATATAATCGTATTTATGTTGATGAAAATTTATATTTTTATCCAGAAAAATATCCCAAATCAGGGTATCAATCATGAAACTTTATTCCTAAGATGAAAAGTGAAAAGTCAAAATTTTAACCATTGAAGTTAATGGAGAAATTTTTCATTTTTCACTTTTCATCCTAGGAAAAAAGTTTCATGATTGACCCCCTGGGCTCCTATTCTTGAAAAGTATCGCATACGAAAAACTAGGGAAATGCTATAGTGTATGTGACATATACTTTAATATTTTTCTAGTTTTACGTATGCGATATTTTTCAAGAATAGAACCCGTCCCGGTCTTTTTCGTGTACCAAACCTTATAGGGTATTGTCCACATTTTTGTGGTTCTCTTCCTATTATGTTATTACATGGGTCAGGGTAGCGATCATGTAACTTTTTCACTAGAGCGGAAACGTGAAAAGTGAAAATTTTTATGTATGTATGTTCATATAGTTCGCGCAATTAATGCTTTCCACCTCTGTTTTGACATTGCGCGTTACCTTCTCGGTTATTTTCACGTCCATGGTCGTAGTCGGTCGAAATTATCGACAATACGCGAGTTTCTCCAATCTCTATTGGCTAGTTTGGTTTGTCCAACTACAGCCATGAATGTGAAAACAACCGAGAAGATAAACGTGATGTCTCACCAGTGGACGTGATGTCATAGGCTGGGAGGGCATTAATTGCGCGAACTATACGTATATGTAATTTTTGGACAATCTCATTACTATGTGCACGCATGTGCACGGGGCATAACATACTAGGGAATTTTTTAAAGCCATCGTTGTGTTTCGATTTAAGTTGGCGTCAGTATTTTAGTAAATGTTTTACGATTTGGCAAAATATATTTTCAAAACCGTAAAGTGTGGATGCTTGCGTATTGATCCCGTCTGTCCGAAAGTTAGATAGACGAACAGGTGACAGGATATCTCTTCCCGCGTTATAGTCTATTTGTGCAACGCATGTAATTCATCGAGACCGATTCGCGCACAAGTGCAGAGAGATATTGGTTATGTTCGCTGTTTGGGTGAAAACAAATTGAAGAGCGATGTAGCGGTAAGTAAGACGGGTCATTCGCGCTGATATTGCGGAAACCTTAACGCACGGTGCACTTGCAGTAACGAGGCATACCCAGTTTGTACGCGTGGAGATTTGTTCACGATCAATTGGAACAAAAAAGTCCGCATAAATGTACGGCGGCGACAGCAGCAGCAGGTGCAACGACGTCCCCTGCACGGAACATCGAAACAATGTCCGACGGTTCTAAGATGGGCCTATTCGGCTCGAAGGACCGAAATCAGGAACAAAAAGAGAAATCTTCCAAGGACAACTCTCCATCCCGTTATGCACCATATGGCGTTGACAGCGACACCGAAACATACGATACCGAGACCCTGAGCATGATGGATATCAACGATATCATCGGCGTACAGTCCGGCGAGCAGATCGGCGATTCAACTCTTGAAAGCGAAATCGCTGCTCTTTCACAGATTATTACAGAATCAAAGGAAGAGCCGACCTTACAGTTGGAGAGCTTAAAGCCAGTAACGCAATGTAGTTCTTCTACGATACCGAGTCCTACTTCTAGTACTGTTTGTATCACAAGCATTGATAATATTGATATTCCTAATGCCGAATGCAGTATTGTGTCTGAAAAGTGTACAGGTAGCATCCATGAAATGCAGCAAGAGATGTCTGATCTTGCCTGTGAAAGTAAGACACAAGCAGAATCATCAATTACCATAGAACAAAGTGTTTCAAAGAATACAGAAATGGACCTTATAATTAAACATGATGAAGCTTCTGACGTAAATATTAACCAAGACCCTACAGTATCTTCAGATAAAGTAGTTGGTGATACATCTACAGTTTGTACAACAGAATCGTCTTCCAATAACAAGTCACACACTGAGATTAATTCCTCAACTGTCATGTCAAATGATGATACTTTACCGGAAACTGCTACAGAGAAAAGTGTTGTTGAGAAGACAGATGAAACCATTGACAAAACAATTGACAGTCAAAATGAAATCAAAAGTGGTATAAGGCCTATGGTAACAGTTGGTAACATTAGCAAGAGTTTGCAACTGATAGGAGAAGCATATAACTCTGAGGATTCGGAGGAAACGGATGTGAACGACTTGCCAAAAGAGACTGCTTCACTTTCTGTTTCTAAAGAAACTTCACTGCCGAATGTTTCTCCAAAACAGCATGAAGAAGACAATTCTGAATTAACTGATATATTGGAACAAAATACTGAAACGTCTTCAAAGTTAAATAATACTGCAAGTGCGACTATTTCAGAAGAATTAAATGCGAAAGTAGAAGACGTAGACAGTAAGATAGAAGATCCAAATATAAAAGAGTCCGAAGATTCTAATTGTAGTAAAACATCGCAACAAGTTTTAGAAACACAAGGAAAGATTGATGATGCGTCAAATAAAGTAACAGAATGTATTGATAATGATGTATCAAGTCACACACAAAGTAAAAATAATACTGAAATAGAAATGGATATAACTGAAGGAACAGTATTAGAACATCAATTTTCCAATGAAATTTCTAAAGAAATTATAGGTTCATTTATTGATACATCTACGATGTCAACAATGGAATTAACAGAAAGTACAGATGAAAACAAAGAAAATACTGAAATAGAATCAAGTATATCAACAGTTGCCGAAATAGAAAAGCAAGATAATTCTACAACTGTTAGTGAAAAAGAGACGCCAAATACAGGAGAAGTAAATGATAATTGTCCTATTATTGATGATGCAAAGGAATATACAAAAGATGTACTTGACTGCGAAGATAGAGATGTTTCTGTATTTGCAACTGAATCTCAGGAATCTATTTTAACTGAAATATCTGATAAAGAATTAAATATAATAGAAGTGACAAGTAAAAATAATAATTCTGAGGAAGATGTCATTAATGAAAGTTCTCAGGCAACACAAGAAGACGTTTCGATAAAGACTAAAATTAATGATGATTCTCAAGAAACAGTTTTTATACAAGATATTGAAAAAACTGCTACAACTTCCAATACTCAAGATAATGTGGATGTAGTCAATGCTGAAGAAACATCTGTGCCAATGGATAGAAACACACTTCAAACTGTGTCAGATACAGCTAATAAAGAATTAATTTTAAATGAAGATACATCAACAAGTCATCCAGATATTGAAGAAAAGAATGTAATAGCCAATACACAGCCTGCAGATAGTCATTCGTTAAGTGAAGAAAATTCAGATTTATGCTCTAAAAATTTAACAATACAAAATGATTCAACTAATATTAATGATTCTGAAGAAACAAATGTTTGCACGCAAAAAGATATTCTTGAGCAAATAGTTGAAACATTAACTCCAGTTGAACATGATGAATCTGTTAAACAATTTCCTTTTATGTCAGAAAAATCTGAAATTGATTCTGAATTACATTCTGCTCCAATCTCGTGTGATAATTCAAGTAACATAACTGAAAATATAAGCAAATCTGAGGTTGAAGAAACAGAGGATGTAGAAAGGAAGACATCTGATGTGATATCACTCTCTAAAGATGAAGATGAAACTTCAATGAAAAATAAATCGAAGAAAACGCTTGATCAACCCGAATCATGTGTTCAAAACGAAGTTAGTTCATTTGTACAGATGGAAACTAAGTTAACTTCGGAAAACGTTACATCTGCCAATCTATTATTAGAGAATGATACAAACTCATTATTGACTGAAAATTTAATTGTTTCAGAAGATGATGTAACAGATTATGTGTGCAATAAAATACAGAAGGAAGATAAAGTCGTGGAAAATGTTACTGAGATATCGTTGAACGAAACAGCAATAAAAGTACCAGAATTAAACGAAGAGGAAATTAAAGAAATTGAAAAAGAGGAAAGTCATAAAATAAATTTAGATTTGGAATCGGTAATTCCAAAAGTAGATATCCGGACAGATCAAGAGGATATCAGTTTACAAGATGATGGAGATAAAAATCCGTGCGAAAAACCTATAAAAATACCTGTGGAATCGAAAGAATCGATCGATGATAATGTAACACCGATAATCGAGGAAAATGTAAAATCAGTCGTAGAAGAATCCATTGATGCCAATTTAAAAGAGGTACAATCGAACGTAATTGATATCTCTTTATTACACGAAAGCTCGAACGAAAACGTGAATGTCGAAAAGTCTACGGAGAAACTGTCTCAAGATTCGGATAGTACAGATACCCCAGCTACTGCTCAAACTATAGACAGTTTAGAGGGACTTTTGGATATAACTCTTATGTCGGACAACGAAAACTCTTCGTTAAAAGATATGAAAACTGAAGATAAAGTCCTAATGGAAGAAATAGTAAATAAAAATATCGATATGGATCTGTTATTAGATCAAGCAAATCAAAGTGAAGCAACCATGACGCAAAATTCAGACTACATAACAAACGTGATTGCTAGTTGTTTGACAAACAGAGATAATGAAATGAGCGAGGCTAATATCAACATACCGAGTAACGATAAAACTACCGAAAACGAGGATAGTAGCTTAAAAATGAACGAAGACATGAGTACGGTAAGTGAGACGGCGGATAACGAGAAGATAATAGAAGAATCTCTTGGAACGGATAGCAATTTGCAACAGAACGATTTGGACATGGATTTCGAGAGCAACCGATTAGAGTCGGTCGATTTGGAGGAAAGTGAAGCAAAGCTGGAATTGTCGCAGGATATTCTGCTGGAAGGCGTGAGTGAAAATCTTTCCCAACATGCCGACACCCCTATCGTCATCGAGAATTCGCAGTCAAGTTCGGAAATCTCTGAATTGGAATCTGCGGTAAAATTCTTACAAGAATCCGAAGAGCAGACTCGCGGAGCTTTACGTGTCCGATGAGATAGACAATTACGCGAACGCCGAATCCGAATTGGAACATTTGAAAGACACTGCGGATGCTATTTCCATCTCGGAAGCAGAGATCATATCAGAGGCTGCTAAGTTGGAGAACGAGCGGAAATTCGCAACGCAGATGCAAAACGTTCCCAGTATCATTGTGAAGAACACCGAAGAAGAGGTAAATGAGACAGAGGTTTGCACATATTCGAAGACATCTGATTCGGCTTCTGTCGCAGATGGTTCCTTGAATGCACAAACAGTCACACGTGTGAAACAATCACACGAAGGAAAAGAAACTGTAACCATTGAATCATTACTCACAGAAGGTGTTCTGCAAAGTGAGCTGATTCCAGGAATGTCAATATTGGGGGACCGACTGATGGAACCACCGAAGATCGAGATACCCATTCTGGATTCGACTAAAGTGTTGGAATCTTCCATTAGTCCGAACGATAATCTTCTCATACCGAAGGACGCGAGAACTATCGCGTACTCGAGGATGTTGGAATCACCGAAATCGGTTGACAAAATTGAATCGAAAGGCGCCGACACGCCGCGTAAAGACTCTGAAAAGCACTCAGATTTCGAGAACGTCGGTTCGCCTAGAATAATTCTGAAGATTGCGAAATCGGCGATCACGGACTGTAGTGAACCGCGATCACCGAAGAGTCCAAAAATTCGATCAGCTACGAATTCGCCGAATCCGGAGGATAGTCCGGGTCAGAAATTGGGAAAGATTAAATTGAAGCTATCGAAGGGAGGCCACCCCTCTATAATATCTAACGAGAATCTGGACGAAATCAATCAGTGGCACACCACCGACAACACGTCGTCATTATCTCCTATCGGCATGAAGATCAAGCTGTCCAAATCCGGCGACGCTTCAATCGTGGGTGCAGAGAAACACGAAAGTCTGGATGACTCAAAGGAGACAAAATATAAAATTGAAGAGCCGAAAAGAACGGATTCTCCGATCGGTATGAAGATAAAGCTGTCTAAGTCTGGAGATGCTTCGATCATCTCCGATTCCAGGCAACAGGATACCAAAGAATCTCTTACGAAGCACAAAGAGAAGTTGGAGATATCGCAGGGAAGCCCAAAAAGAACAGAATCGCCGATTGGCATGAAGATCAAGCTCTCCAAAACTGGCGACGCTTCTATCATTCAGACCGACAGGCAAGAATCTTTAGAGGAGCATAAGGAAATTACACAGAAACGGACTGATTCTCCAATTGGCATGAAAATTAAACTGTCAAAGACCGGCGATGCTTCTATCGTATCTCCGGATACTCCTGAAGACTCCATAAAGGTAAAGGAAAAGCAGGACTATTCGGAACTACCAAAAAGAACCGAATCTCCAATTGGAATGAAGATAAAGCTATCCAAGTGCAAAGGTGGTGCATCTATTATTTCTGTAGATAATATTGAAGATACAAGAGATAAATTGGAAGTACCTGATCCACCTAAGCGTACTGAGTCACCACTCGGTATGAAGATAAAGTTATCCAAAACCGGAGATGCATCTATTATACATTCCGAGGTCACAGAAGACGTTAAAGAAATTAAATACAAAGACAAATCTGAGGTATTGCAAGATACTGTGAAAACGTCCGAGTCTTCTGGAATCAAGATCAAGGTGAAGACGGGCGAAGCAACATCGTCAGGATCGTCGGATGTTACCGAGGAGCAAGAGGTATTCCAAGCCTCCGAATCGTCAACAGGCGGCATTCCGAGAATCAAAGTATCCAAATCTGGGGATATGTCGATTGTTTCTAATAAAACGGAATCGACAGAAGATTCGAGACCACGGGAGAGTCAAGCAGAAGCATCCAAAAGAACAGAATCTCCACTTGGTATGAAAATCAAACTGTCCAAGAGCGGCGATGCTTCTATTGTGCAGAGCGAGGCTGAAGAGCATCAAAGTAAGATTTCTCGTGTGCCCGATACAGAATATTCAAAAGGTGGTGACTCGTCCCTCGGGATGAAGATCAAGCTATTCAAGTCAGGTGATGCTTCAGTAGTGGAGACACCTCCTTCCAGTTCTTCCGAAAAGAAAGACAAGCAACAGAGACGCAGGGACACCGCCGAATCGCCGCTGGAGATGAAGATCAAATTGTCCAAAACTGGTCACCCAACTATTGTGGCATGCGACAATCACGGAGAGTCCTCTACGCCCAAAGCTAAGGATCCAGCGACTCTGGATCCAGCAGTGAATTTTTCTCATAGGTATATGGAACACGCTGCAGCGCATAAAGAACCCGCATTGAAGATCCTCAAGACCAGCAGTCACCATCCGTCTATTCTACAGAGCAATCGTTCTGAACTGACGATCGAGCCAGTGCAAGTGCAGAGCAGAAAGCAACCAGCAGAAAATGTCCAACAGCAGATCGAAATATCGCCCAAGCGTAAAGACGTAACGATCTCGCCAGTTGAGAGCAAAAAATCTAAGCTGGAGACACAACTCTCACAGATCTTGCCGGAGGTCACCATCCAACCGGTATTGTGTCGGGATCAGAAACAACAGCAGCAGCAACAACAACAGCAATTGTTGTTCGATCCGAAGACGAGTCTAATCAGTCGACAGCAGATGAACGTGATCAACCAGGAGATCAGTATCACACAAGTGCGGCCAGACAGTGCGTCTGACAAGTTCAAGGATACGTGCAAAAATTCACCAGGCGGATTGTCGGATTGCGAGATCATCGAGCATCGCCCAGAACTAATAATCGTCAACGAAAATTCGAACTCCAGCCAAGATGTTGTCATTATAGAGGAAGTGACCCCTAACAGAATAGCCGATATCAAAGTGCCAAAGAAGAGAGGAAGACCACGAAGAAATCCTGTGGCACAAGTTCAGCAGTCTGCACAAATGCTGATGCCTAGAGATCCCCTAGCCCTAGACGAGGTGCAGCAAGTTCCTCCGCAACAATTCGAACATAGAGAAAATGAGAGACCTAAAAGGACCTGCAGGAATCAAAAGAGTTACGCTCCGCCCAAAAGAGGTAGAGGACGAGGTGTGTTTCTTTCATAATTAATATATATTACGTATATAATACGTATTTACTATATAGTTAATATTAATACGTAAGTAAATTGTAAGTACTTAATTTTAGGAATTGACAGAAAACTTCACGTTGCGAAAAATAGAAAAATAATAACTGTATATTACAAGGGATATTCGCAAAAATATTCAAATATTTACATTTGAAATGTTATAGTTAAAGATAGTTAATAAATATAGTTAAAGATTGTAAATAAAAAATTGAGATAATTATCATTGACGCGATAAATTTAACATATTAATTATTTTAAATATTTTAATTATTTTAATTATTCTACGATTTATATTCTAATTAATATTATATATATTGATATAACAATGAAAATATTAATTTTTAATTTGATTATTTTTTATTTGATTATATTTTAATTTATAATTTAATTATATTTATTACTTAATTTTTTAAATTAAAATAGATTCTTTAATAATCCACAAGAAATACCACATAACATTCACATATAAGTAATTATCTTTAAAACTTATTTTACATAATGATATACCTACTGCTTTATTATTTAGTAAATTTGCCAGTTTGATGTCATTCTATTGTTGGGCTAAATATATTTGAGGAGTTATGCGCAATATCATCGATCTAACATTCTTATGTTCGCCAATTAATCTGACTATAGAATGATTCAATACACATTTGCAAGATTATTTAGTTATTTAGTTATTTCATTTTATCATGTGTAAAGATAATTGACTGCTATTTATTTGTATTGTACTGAAGAGGATCCGAATCGAGGATCGAATGTGTATGTGTGTGTATATATATATATATATATACATATACATACATACAGGGTGACCCATTTTAATCTATCACCCCAAATATTTCCGTTCCCTTACATTTTACAAGAAAATGTTTCAGACAAAAGTTGTATGGTTTAAAGGGGGCCATAAAATGGTACCATTGGTTTGACCTTGGATAGTCACTTAAAGGTCACATGAAGGTCACCTTTAATTTTTTAAATTAAACTCACTATTTTTCATTACATATTCTTGTAGCTTATTTCGAGAGCTTTTCAAAACACTATAATAAAATATTTTTTCATTAAGAGTATTTTTCGAGTTATAAGGCTCGAAAGTTACAGTACAGCCGGCATTAGCATTACGCAAGTTGTCCTTTTATGGCCCCCCTTGAAACCATACAACTTTTGTCTGAAACATTGTCTTATAAAATGCAAGGGAACGGAAATATTTGGGATGATAGATTAAAATGGGTCACCCTGTATAATATGAGGGTCGTATATTTTATATTTGTTTAATATAGAATAAATTATATACACACTTTTGTGTCGGTTCATAAAGACATTTTCAATATTTATTAAGAGAAAATAAAACCTTTGCGTATATGAGATCGCCCTTTTTTAAACGATAAGCCTTCTTTCCCATTTTTTTGAAAAATTGCTTTTGATCATAAAAACTATATTTGAAATTATTTAGTGAAATATATTATATAATGAAATACACGTAATAACATAATATATATGAAAATTATAATAAATTAAAAAAAATATTTTTTATTTCATAAGTCAATAATTCCGTTATGTCTCAGATATAAAATAACTATGCGTTGAAAATTTATCCTGTCTATAATTAAGAAATGATTTTGCTCTTGGTGCAGAAAGAACACTACTGTGTCTCCTGATACCACCGTGTTGTGTGTGTATATACATTATTATTTTAATAATATATTGATGATATTCATGTTAATATGTTGGATCTGTTCTTAACTGTATTTGAAAAACCAATTTATAAGTTAATTTTTTTTCATATTTTGCATATCTTATGTTTTTTAAATATTTATTTGACTAAAGTTTGTTTTAAATGAAAAATTAATAGACATCTGTTTATATGTAGATATGTAAATAAAAATTCAAAAATAATAGCAAAATTACATTGAAAAACTTTCTCAGACAGGAGATATCCGCATCATCTTTTTGCGAAATTGATTGAAAAAGGGATAGGAAGAACAAAAAGATAGAGTACAATGAGACTATACAGTCAACAAATAATTCTATAGAAAAAATGAATAGAAGAAAAAAGGCATAATTTCCATTTCAATACCTATTTATATTTTCATATCTCAATCATTTCTCTTTTTAACAGGAAACATTAATTTTTTTTCTTTCTTTTCTTATACCTAGGTCGCGGTAAACGGAAACTAGATAACGTGGAACCTCAAATTGGGAAGAAGACTCGTGTAGATCAAGATTTAGACGCTATAGAGGCATCAACAATGGCTGTCATCACCATCGACGAAACACCAGTACAAGAATCACTTCGAAAATCGTCAGAACAACTGTACAAGGCGCTGAAACAACCGCCCATAGATCGTAAAAGTATGAGTTCCACATTAAGTCGCAAAGAAGCGGGGAAAAAAGATTGTAAAGCCTTGAACTCTGAGATCGCGACATTAGACCCTGCCAGGTTGTCGGATGTTCAAGAAGATGCAAAGAAGGCGTCTACGAGTCAGGGCCCATTGGTCTCGAAAGCTGACGAACAGCATAAAAAACCGACCTTAGAAATTGTCTCTGAGAAAACGCAGAAGTCAGCGACAAAACAACATGCTGAAAATAAAGGTAAGATGTCAGACGGGATTAAAGAGATACCTGTACCTCCCGGACATTCGAATTGGCTGACGCCAACGTCAAAGAAGCAAACAGATTCAACAGCCATTAGAGGCGAAACAGTGTCGACGGTGCAAGTGATCGATGAAGAAACAAGAATGAGCGCCGAATCCGGCTCAAGGTCCCAAACACCAGCTAGAAATATACCAGCACCAAGTATGTATTTACATTAATATTAATACATAATATTATATAGGGTGTTTCCAAATTAAATGGCAAAACTTCGGGAGCGTGTAGAGGAGTAAAAAACTAAGAAAAAAAGTCCTATAGACATATGCTCGTTTTTGCTCCGTTTCAGAGAAATCGAAAAAAAATGTTTACATTTCTTGCCATATCTAACACCGACATATTTGATTACATTTTCCACTTTCTGTTATGAATTTGTCAGTCGCTCTTTGAAAGCCTTTAACAGTAGATGAATTTTGTCTTTTGCAATATGCCGCGTACTTATATTGATATTGTAATACAATAAATAAATATTATACAATGTTAAAGATAATAAACAGCCATACTTAATATAGTGATTTAATGTTTCATTGTTTGAAATTTCATATTTCGTATTGTATATTGTATACAGAGTATATTTATATTGTATACAAAGATATATTGTATAGAGAGTGTACTAGTATATTTTAATAATATAACTTAATATTTTTTATTTTTTATGTATAGATACTACATAGACATTTATGTGATTGTATTTCTATTCATCTATTTCTTTTTTCTTGTTTGTATTTTTTGTTTGTATAAAATCTTTATATTAAAAAAATAACTAGTCTTTTGTGTTTAATTAAAAATCTGATTAAAAATGTAACTGTAAGAAATGCAGAGTTGTATTTTCATTAATAATATTTATTTGTAATATAAAAATGGAATTACATTAATATAATATAATTTTTATCAATAATATTATACATAATTGCTTCTAAGAGAATGAATCTCTAGAAAAAATATTTTTATTTTAGTCATTGAAGAGTTGAGTTGGTTGAATGTATTGGTACACATCCAAAACTTCAAGCTGGCTAAGAATAGATCTTTTCTTGTGGCATAAGATGTCTCTCAAGTAACTAAATACGAAATTGTAATAATGCGCTCAAATATGAAACAGTGTACATTATTTCTTTTATTTGCAATATGTGTCGTAATCATGTTGTGTTTAGCAGCGCTAAAAACGCTCATATTAATTCGTATATCATCTATATAAATAAAAAAAAAATATATATATGCATTGTGTTCGTGTGTTTATATATATATTTATAAAAAGTATTTTTTGGGATGTCTAAATATGTGTTAAATTACGAAAGAATATTAAATATGATAAAATATAAGAAATATACTAATTTGTTAAAGTATAATGAAGTACGAATCTTTTATTATATTTATATCTATCAATATAATATTGATAATATTAATGTTAAAATATGAAAAATATGTAAGAAAGAGCTGTTAGAAATTATGTAAACAAAATTTTTTTTTACAGTTTTTCAGTTATTCATTCAGTTAATCCATAGAAACTTACATAAAAAGTGATAAATGTATTGCTACATTTATCTGTATAGAAATTAATTTTTTTACAGCTTCAGAAACAATAATAAATGAAGAATCGCAAGGTAGTGTCCTAAGCACTGCTACGACGGAATCTGAAAAAGTTAAAGTAAAGAACCGAAGAATGGAGATTAATTTCGATCCCGATGAAGGACCTTTCACTGTTGATAAAATAGCAGAATACGAATGGCCACTAGATCGAAAGGGTGAAACCTTTATGATACAGGAACAAATATCACAGTATCTTGGCGTAAAGTCTTTTAAGCGCAAATATCCTGATCTCAAACGCAGAGTAGTTGATATGGAAGAGAGAAACTATTTGAGGGAGAATGGATTAGTCAGTGAAGCAATGTGCGATATGGGTAAGTTTATTTTTATTGGTCTTCCTGTAAAAAGAGATTTTCATGTAAATCTCTGATGATATATATAAATTTATTATTTTATCATGTATAAATAGTACAGAAAGAAAGTTTATACTATCCATTTATAAGAAAGTTGAAAAAATAATTTATATCTATATAAATTTGAATAAACTGCCAGAATTTTTTTTTCTTACACAATAGATTATTTTACATATATTTTCCTTTAAAAATAAAAGTTTGAAATAAAAGAAGCAATATAAATAAAATTTTAGAAACTGCCAGTTTTGCTTCTATATCTCTCTTCTATTATGTACATTTATGTTAGTATATTATATCATATAATGCATTTATTTAAATTGCTATACCACATTACACAGGACTAACTGCGATATGTAGCTCCGAAGTACTAGACATAATGTGCAGTGATTTCCCCGATCAGTACGAAGAATATCGTAAACATATGCGCGAAAAACAAGTCAAGGAACATTCCAAGAAGCAGAAGGAACTGACGGCGGCAACAAATGCGGAGAGAAACAGGATAGATCTCGCAGAAATGGCAATGCAGTCCGCATTTACATGGAACGCTAATTTAAATAAAGCTCGCAAGGAACAGCGCAAATACTGCTTAGATCTGCAAACTTTCACAATTCATCAACCACAGAAGCAACACAAAGCCGATTCGGAGCACAAAGTTGGTCATTATCCTGTTGCTCTGATACCAGGACAGTATACCGATTATTATCGGGAATATACACCAGCAGAATTGAGGTATTATCCTCTAAATACGGTCTTATATGGACCCACACGACCTAATGAACGTAAAAGTGATAGTCAATCAGAAGGTTCTCAGAGCGATAGCGATAGCGAATCATCTTCCGATGACTCAAGGTTGGTAACAACGTTATAAAATATTATATAATTTATTTTTAGAATAAATTATTATATGCGTAGAATGATTTCAAAATAAGATGCCAAAACTTGGAAACACATGTTTTAGCAATTTAGAATTTACTCTAAACAATATTATACGTTTGATTTATAATAAATTAATATTTACATATAATAATATAATATAAAGTATAAAGATGATAATGATTGTATTTGAACAGTTCATCCTCCAGCGAAGGTACACAAGATACGGAAGGATCTCAATCAACCATGGACGAAGTGGACATGGAAATTTCGAATTCAAAGGATGACACAAAGTTAAAGTGCAAGATGTGCCTGAAAGTTTTAAATAAACATAACAAGAACGAAATATTAATTCAATGTGGTACTTGCAATGGAAACGGTAAATATAATATTATAAATTAGATTGCATGTGACTTTTTATGGAGCTAACCGAGGCCGTCATCATTTTCAGTTCATCCATCCTGTATAGATTTAACATTAGATATGGTACCACACATTCAATCATATGCATGGCAATGCACTGATTGTAAAACGTGTGTACAATGTCACGATCCTGCAGACGAAGACAAGATGCTCTTCTGTGATATGTGCGATCGTGGGTAGGTTACTTGAAAAAAAAACCTAATGTACGCTACACATCACATAAAACTTCTGTAATTACAACTCAGAAATTCAACAATCGATGCTTTAATATCTGCCTTGTTAAAAAGAAAAAGAAAGTTACACAAAATATGAATTATAATTTCTATAAGTATTTGCGACATAGAGCTGCAAATTAACTATTCGGAATGTTTACCTAGTATAATTTGAACCACATGTTTAGGTATCATATCTATTGTGTCGGTTTACGACGAGTACCACAGGGAAGATGGCACTGTCAAGAATGCGCTGTATGCGCGAATTGCGGTTCGAGGGAGGCTGGCGGTGCTAATTCGGACCGAAACAGTGTTGCGCAATGGCAACACGAATATAAAAAGGGCGAGAAAAATACTCGAATATATGTCTCGACGCTCTGTGTACCATGTTCGAAGTAAGTATATAGTCTATATGGATATAACTATTGATTTTTCAAAAAACGCTGGGCTTTAATTGCTTGATAATCTCCATTGCTCATATCATAACACTTTCGACATCTTCTCTTTTCGTTATCAAATCTATGTAGGGTGTTCAATAAGAGATATACTTTGCAAAGAATATGTTCTATCGAGAAATAAAATAATTTTTTGTGTTTAATCTGATTTCTATGATACAATTTTAAAGTTTTAAGTATTTTGGGATAAGTATGCCTTTTTACAGGCATAAAGTCTTAAAATTAGTCAAAATTCACTTAAATTACATAAACTAGACAGAATTAACTGAAATGAATTTAAAAATAAAACTTTTTCATCCATTTTCTAATTTGTCAAAATACTATTTTGATAAATTGTGAGTCAAAAACTCTATTCTCAACAGTTTTGTTAAAAAAAATCTATAAAAAATACGATAAGAAATGTATTAATATGTGACATTGTCTTCCCTCTTTCTCCATGTACCAAGCACCATCATAATACATAATATACCCTTACCTGAATTCACTAACCACATGATCTTTATAACAAGGCTGTGGCGAAAGGGTCGCTATTGCCCGCACTGCAGTCGCTGTCATACCGCCCAAAGGCTCGACCTGGAAGCGAATCTAGTGCATTGCAGCGCATGTGACAAGTATCTGCACTTAGGTATTGACACCAAGTTTTCATATGATTCAGTTAGTTTAACATTTTGAGCGCTGAGCACATGTATTTGCACATTAACTTGTGTTTCTGATTTTATGTGAACAAAAATCATGGCACAAACCTTACACTCATCGAAAACTGACTTCAGTTAATGAAATTAATAAGCACATAATTAGCTACATGAATCCACATGTAGTACATTTTTTTATTAAATTTCTGTTAAATTGTACTCCTAAAAATTTTATTTCATATACTTGATTTGCAAAAACATATTATGGACCACGGAGTTTAATTTTCAGTAGACGCTCAAAGTGTTAAGGTCATTGCATGTTGCAATACAGGAGCATTTGCACGCGCCATCGAATTTTGTTTGATCATCGCTATTTTAAAAGCCATGTTTAAATTGCTATTTAGTGCGTACATATGTACATTTGCATTTCTATCTTGTTCTGTCAAATAAGAAATACAAATTGTATAGTGGATGCCATGGTGCAAAGGTGTTTAATTTAATATATATTGTCTATTTTTACTCATCGAAATATTATTTGTTTTTTATCGTCTTTTTATTAACATAATTTATTTCTTGATATTTTTTGCTTTAGATCGAGAAATAAAGAATCTTAAAAAAGTATTATCTGCTCAAGACAAAAATATCTAAACACCTTTGTTCTTAGAGGTCAGAGCTACTGCTGCGCAATATTATGTATCGTATAGAATAATGTATGTGTGTGTAGCAATATATAATTTTTTTCAGAATGCGTGGAGACCAAGGGAGTAGTGGTTGACAAGAAAAATTATCAATGTGATTTCTGTACACCATCGACCAGCCAGCATGTAAAGCCTTTAATGTCGAAGGTGCTCAAAACGTGAATATAATTACTGTAACATTGTCGAGGAAAAGAAAATATCGTGCTGTATAATACCAATGCCAGTGGTGTATATTATACTATTATATTAAAGTAAATAAGTTTTTTATTGAGTGCGTTTGTGGACAAATGCGCGCAAGATTTTCTTCTGGAGTACTTCATGACAAACGAGTTACATTGTACATAGCTGCGGAATGAGTCATTTAACTTTTAATTATGAATTTTTAACATATTGTTTATCGCGAGAACAGTGAATTGTTTAGTAAGGAAAAGACTGAATGTGTTTAATTTTGAATATGTCAAAATTACGAGATACAGAGTGACAACGCGAGAAATCGCGCATTTTCTCTCGATTATAAATTCTTTATTCTTTGACGAACTTGAAATCTATTATTGTATACCATAAGCTTAGTTAAACGTGCATTTTATAACACTCTCTTTTACAGTATTAAAAAAATTCTTTTGAAAAGTAAAAAGAATTTATTTAATATAAACCGAAAGATAAGGCGTTATTACACGTTTACATTTCACAAATTTAATTTGCGAAAATTATGTCGGCTTATCACTTACAAGAATATAAATGCAGAATAAGAACATTATTGTTCATATAAGCATTGTGAAATCGAAAGCGAGCGATTTTCTAAATGTTTCTGTATAGATAAAATTATTTATGTAAAAATCTAAAATTTTATGTTTAATGTATAATCGTGATAATAAAAACAATTTTCCATCAATCAAATGTAGAATATATATAATTTAATTTTTAAATATGTATATGTATATGAATAAATGTATATACGTATATCTATTTTTACTAAATTATATATATTAATACAATTTTTCTTCAAAATTTTAAACAAATATTACATTAAAAATTAAATCATTTTTTTGGTCATCGATATCATCTTTGCCTATTCAAGATATTACTATCATTAGAGAAGACTGCATTTTTCTCTTCGTTTTCGAAAAAAGTACAATATCATTATTGGATAAATTTATGCTCTTGCATTTCTTTCTAAATTACCAACTCGGATATTCCTGAAGAGAAAGAACCATATCAGTATACCGTTAATAAGTTTTGTAAAATATTGTCTTTTCTGTCGATCGCTACATATATGTAGAACAGAAGGGAAAGAAATAAAATATGAAACTAAAAAAATAGCTATTTCTTAAAAATATATATCATTCTCTTTATTTTTCTTTTACGACATAATCCTCGGATTAGTGTTCTGTTGTGGGAATCAGATGTGAATAAACATCCTTTCTTTTGCATGTGTTTTTACATACTTATCATTACAAAGTATCCACATTTTGAACAGTGCGCTCTTTCTCTTTTTCGCTGTCAAAAATCAATTATAATATATTTATATAAGTGTTAGATTATGTTGCATTATGTACACATACAGAATAACGATAGTAATTGCGACTGTTTAAAAAATGAGCAAGTTGCAAAATATAAACTTTGGCATATCGTTGCATCAACCTCGTATATAATATTACGTCAGAATAATCTTAGAGTTTGTATTGCAATGCAATCTGTACAAGATATTTCTAAACAATGCATACGCGCGAAAAATACAAAACTACTGCATAGCATGTTCTATCGAGTTGGCCGACTTCATTTTCTTTTCTCGGGTTCTTTAAAACTGCGATGTCGTTCTAGTCGTGGTATATTTTCTTCCATCATAATTTCGGTGACACAATCAATTAATCAGTAATACAATTATCTAGCGATACCGGCAGCATTAGCGACAGCGAAGAACATCTTTGTGAAGAATGTGTATATGTATATACATACATATATATGTTTCACATATGCTCTACGTTCCAGTCATAAATTAAATCGCACCGGAGACACCCAGCGATAACCCATAATTTCTTCCTCGCGGCAACAATCATCCGTTTCCTTCCTTTCGTTTAGAATTCGAGTAAATATCGAGTGCTAGTTTAAAATGGCTGTGCACGATTTAATGTCGCTTAGAAAAACATCACACACGTTAATTAACATTCCGCACATGATTTACAACGCCATAAAGTAACATATACTTTGAGCAAAAGAAAAACGAAATCTCATAGCGTAATCAGCAGTACAATTCGTACGAGTATTATTATACTATGTAGTCGCGTTGTTAAAGAGCACTTATGCGCTAAACGGGGACGGGTTCACAGCTCAGAATTGCACTTGACCCGTCATTGACTAGTAGTACTCGATATACAAGATAATATAGCGTCTATTTCTTCTTAGCTGCACTTTTGTTACTGTTTTTATATTGAAAAAGATACGGGATGTATCTTCAATATTCGTAGGAAAATGGGACTTGCGAGAAAACTACATAAAAGTGTAGCTAGAAGAAACAGTGGTGTAACTACATCGTCAGTAAATGTCGAACCAACAGCCGTGTCTCTCGCGTATGTAACGCGTATGAAACGCGAGTGCTCAAATACATTTATCGGACCGTCAGTAAAGCAAAATAACATCAAGAATTATTTGCGCACGTACAGAAAACTTAATGATTCCGTTGCAATGCCGCTTCATCCTCCTTCGAGCAGCATTGGATTCAGAACGGCCGAAAAATTAAAGCAATAGCTGTAAAAAGACGTATAAAGCAAAATTGCTGTTTTGAAAAAAATAGAGAGATTCACACAATTTCAATTGTAATTCATGATCAGTCAAATTATAGTTGCACTCCGTGAGTATTCTATAAAATGAGTATTCTACAAAATGAAACAAAAAACTTTAAACGTATTTTTTTTCTTTTTCTCGTGTCAAAACAACTCTCTTACTTACGTGCTATTTTTCAAGCATCAATTTTTTTATCCTAAATGTGCGCTCCAATTCCGATGAATAATTGACAGTGTAAAAAATCATTTTGAGTATTTACTCGTGCCTAATACCATATATAGATAATAAAGTACTGAAATTATGTAAGTGAATAGCCGGTATAATGGTAATCACTAAATTCTGTGTAGAAAACTTTGATAGGACATTGTAAAGGAAGTTTGGGCCCAGAAAGCTGCCGACTTTGTAAAATATTCGCAAAATACATGTTGGATTTGCGCTTTGCGAGCCTTTCCTGAGTTTACACAATAGATAATCGAAAGCCTCCGACAATTCATTTGCATTCAGCTCCATGGATGGCAAACTCGCCTCCGTTGTCAAATTACCAGTAGAATTGGATGAACCTGTCCATAAAAATATCAAACTTAGAAAAAGTTTTTGTTAAAAATATTTTTAAATATTTACACAAATTGATGTTTAAGTGTAAAAAATTAATAATTGATATTAATAATTGATTTAGATTTATCATTTTATATTCTACTCTACTACAATTATACTATTATCAAAATATTATATTATGGTATTTTATTTTTAAGATTTTTACTATTTTTAAACTATAAATTTTAGTATTTTATATATTTAAAATAGAGAAAAAAATATGTTCATGAAAGGAAATTCGAAAGATGTGTTATGAATAAGTAATTTATCAAAAGAAATTTACCGGTAGACATATAACATACGATCGCCGAAACATTATTTTCATAATTCCACCTACGCCTGATGGCTATCCTAAAATTAGCCACACATTTTCCTGTTTCCTCGTCTGCAACAAGTAATAAGATATATGTAACAATACATCTCCTCACTAACTTTTGAATTAAAAAATAGAAAAATATATTTGCTGTAAGTTATGCTGTAAAAAAACAAAAACTGAAGAAAAAAATAGATTTTTCTACTCAACTTACAGCAAATACACCTTCCTTGTCAGATAAGCTTTGAATACTTACACTCAAATCGGTTATTATCCCTATGAGCCCAAACACACCACTCAACTTGAGCACCACGTGGTAAATTTGGTACAACAATGTAATCTACAATAGCATTTCTAGTCCTCCTTTCCCACTCCTTCCTCGCATCTGCTATGTAACTAGAATGAGTCAGGAAACAGATACCTTGTACTATATCTCGAAGTTTCGCATCCATAGCCTTAACAATGCGGTCTATGTGCCTCAACGTTAAACGACACTGCCGTTTAATGTTCATATCTAGAAGATTCATATTGCCAGGCACCAAAGGTATTTGCCCAGCAACTAAAATAACATCACCTACCTGTACAAAAAATTACATTTTTTTATAAAACAGATTGTCTTAAATTTTTTAATTTAAAAGATTACAAAAAACTAAATAATAAGACTAAAAAGGATTTTTTATATTTTAAGATAAATTGCCTTAAAAATATATACTTAACAAAAAAGTAGTCAATATATCTTATAAAAATATATTTATCATATCAATCAGAAGACACGATAGCCTCAGGTGTCAAGTATACATTTTATTAATTTATATATATATATGCTATGATTCCCGAGACTGATATACTACAGATTTGCGAACCAGAGAGTTGCGAGATTATCGGATCTCAATAACGGATGAACCGATCAAGTTCTGAGTAGGCTTTATCAATAGCTTAGGTTTAAATTGCATAATAAAAGTTTTTTATTTTTTCTCTATATATCCTGAGTGAGATATTACGATGCAAAGACTGAATCTGGAAATCGTACTTACACGAACAGCCTGAGAGTAAGGGCCAATATTGGCGGGTGCCCAGTGGCTTATACTTTGAACCTGCATCGTGTGTCGCTTACAGGCCCATTTATCGCCACTCTCTTGGTTCTCCTTATATGCTATCGCATCAAGTGCGACATGTACGTTCAAAGGACATTCTACACATACACGAACTGGCGGATTTCTCTTACCCAACCAGGAAACGTATACTTCATTTATAGCCTTGTAATTCGACATATCTTTTATGTACAATGTTATCGCGACTATGTCAGAGGGGCACAAATTTTCATTTTGTATCAGAGCTACAATTAGACAAATATTATATGTAAAAAAGATTTATTAATATTGATTTTTTTATGTTATCAATTAAATTTCGAATAAGAAATAATTGTTAATTTGAATAATTACTAAACCGAAAAGTATGCGATTAAGATGTGAATTTTACTGCTTAGTTTTTCCAGTGCCTCTTCTATAGCAGGTGTTATGTCCGGATGTTTCCCTATAATACCTCCAAACCAGAACCATCCTGTTTGATTTCTGTTAACGACCGGAGCATCTAGGCAATCTTCATCTTCATACAAAATCTCCATTGGGCTCGGAGGATGAAACTGACCTGTATATTCACACAGATATATATTGATATATTTTATATGCATTTTTCTCTGTTCTTTTTCATGATGTTTGATGAAATCTTGTAAAAAAAATTCTTTGAAAATTCCCGGATTTTCCAGGTTTTTTTTCTCAAAATTCCAAAAGATTAGAGAATTTTTAAATGGAATTTTGAAATAAAGAAATCAAATTGGAATGCAAGCAATACAAATAAAGTAATATATTGAAAACTAGTAGAAGACCAGGGATTCCA